ATGAATCAATGCTAGAATAGCAAAGGTATATTTAACAAATATAAACAATTCTGCCTTTAAAACATTAGAATGAGGGTATGACACATCTGTTCCCAAAACCAAGGGTGTAAATTCCATGTTTTTTCTTTGGGGTAGTAGATCTTTTGCCCTGGATATTGATCTGGCAAAATTTTGAAATTGTGCATCAGTTTTATGATGAAATAGGCAGAGCTCCAAAATTGAAGGCGAAACATGGTAGAACATGATAACTAAGGGTTGAGGAGACAAACCCTCAAACATTTTTTACAGATCGGTACCTCGGGCAAGGGTGTACTGCACAGATCATTGGCAGGGATATAGTGCTAGGAGGCTCAGGCCCCCTTGTTGGTACCAAAAAGAAGCAAACTTCTACTTTCAGTACTACTTTATGTGACATTTTGCTTGAGAGCCCCTGTTGTACTATTCTTAGTATCACACCTGACATCTCTAACCATTTGGTGGACAGTACACGGACTGTTAGAAATCTTACATTTAGAGGATACAATTTTTCTCAAATTGCATTGCTTAGGGGATGTGTGTCACAACATTCAACATGGTAAAATGATAACAGGCACCGTAGAGCATTGAGAAAAGTGGGGGTCTAAGAAAGTGGGTGGGGGGCTAAAACCATATAAAAAGAGGCTTTACTAGTAGTTTATTATCTAATATTTAGCATTTCTCCAAAAAGTGGGGGGCTAAACCCCCCCCTCCCCAGCTCCCGCCCCTGCTCCGCGGTGCCTGGATTGTGGCTTACGGGAAAGCTTCCATCTTGTGAATGGGGTTCTTCTTCTAATGCGGTAAGACATCAATTATTATTCACCTCCCTGGAAATCCCTGAGATGAGACGACTATAAGAAATGCCTTCGGTCAGAAATTTATTCACATCTGAAAACTCGTGAAGCATTCGGTCTTGAAAAACTTGCTGCGTTACCAAGATGCGGATTTGCATTCAGGTTCAAGTTTCCATCTTTGATTTGTCGATTTACTAGTCCATGTTGGCTGGAAGCCTCCGCTAAACATCGATCGCAATGAAGGAAAATAAATAAAACGACAACCGGGATCCCGACATGAATCGCCTCTTCCGAGCCTCTACCGAGTCGTGCGAATTTCAGTGCGAACGTATAACAATGGCGCCGAATGTTGAAACAATGGTCCCTTCATACGTCACAAGGTACTTTTTCCGAAAAAAATTTTGTCGTATTTTTACGGTGATTCTCAACTTTGAGCGTCTATATCTGGAAAACGAGTTAAGCTTTTCGAAAAAATATTTCACGATGGCTTCTTTTTCTCGACAAAACCTGACTGGTTTGGGTTCAAGGTGTTTTCAGCAAGCTAATGAGAATATAAAAAATCAAAGATCAATTTTTCTAAAATTTTCCCAAAGATTGAAAGAAGGGAAATTGGTCGATAATTCTCTTTTAAATTCTTTGCATTTTTTTTGTGCACAGGAACAACGTTTACACACTTCCAAGTTTCAGGGAAAATACCCTTAAACAAACAATTCTCGAAGATTAATTTCAATGGCAGTACAAGTGCGCTATCACATATTTTTATCATTCGCACAGAGATATCATCCCATCCATGAGCTTTGTTAGGGTTTAGCGATCGAATTATTCTCAATATTTTATCGTCAGTTATAGCGATGTTTGTTAGTTCAGTGCCATGTTCCGGTGGATCACGTGAAATAGTACAGTGTCTAAAGTAGTACATTGTAGAATGAAATAATCATTGAAAATCTGAGCCTTGGATGAGAAGTCATAAACAAAAATGTCATTTTCTAGGAGGTGAGGTATTTCTGGAAATTTAGCTTTGTTCAGAACTTTATTGATTAGCGACCAGTAGGTTTTACTACCAGTAGTAGGATTTGCAAGAGTCGTTCCGATCTTGGAGTAATATTTCTGCTTAGCATCTTCAACAATTTTAAAACTTAGAGAGATCATGTTTTGGATTTCTCTCTACATGTCTGCTGGTCGGCCCTTTCTAACAAAAGATTTGTAGGCGCGATTCTTTTTCCGAAGAAATGCTTTGATACCCTTGGTCACCCATGGGGCTTGAGACGGCCTTATCGTTTTGATTTCATTGGGTATTGAATTAGAGCACACGTTGAGAACGACTTCTGTCAGCAACTTTACTTGTTCGTTGGGGCGCTGGATCGATGCTTTTTCGGATAGAATCAATTCTGGCCCTGTCGTAGTGCCAGAGTCTCCGTGTATAAGAGGGTGGGGCAAGATTATTGGTCGACAACCTACTATATACAATTTGGTGATGGCTGTTCGTGGAGTGACGGATGAACACCTGAATCGATGAAGATGTTTGGTTGGTCTGTGAAAATGAGATCTATGCACGACTTGGACTCACCAATCATATGTGTTGGCTCATTAATCAGTTGATGAATGCCAAGATCGGAAATTACAGCCTCAAATCGTTTTCCTTCTTCGTTTTCATTCTCATCTTTCCACCACTGGGAGGAGCGACAGTTGAAATCCCCTGATATGATTACAGCAAAAGCTCGAAATTATTCATAATATTTTTAAATTCTTCTTGATTCTGACTAGGACTCCTATAGATTATAGCAAAAAAGTATTTCCTCCTATTGATTTGGATTTCGCAAGCAACACATTCGGGTAGCGTGACAAGGTCAGAACGCTCTTTTTTCGGAAGAATCTCTTTCACATAAAGCCCAACACCACCCCTTTTGATATCTAACGGATGATTCTGCTTGATGAAAGAGTATCCATTCAGTACTAGCTTATCCTCATCAATGCTACTATCAAGGTGAGTTTCCACCACACCTATCAAATCATAATCATAAACAGAATTGTATGCTTCGATGAGTGACACTCGAAGAAAATCGTATGCTGTTATACTATTTAAATTCCAGCAACAAAAATCTAGGGTCTCCGGGCCTGGATTTAGTTCAATGTCCTCACTTAGCAAAATCACTCTTTGTATCACCCATAGTACATAGATCAGGTGAATTATATCACAAACAGCATACCATTGAGTGTAGACTAAGAGACAATAGCTAAGCGATCGATACCTTAAGCGAAGAACTCGATAAGAAGCAGAAGAAATCTTTTTAAAAATTTCAAAAATTGTATATAGGATGATCCTAGTGTATGAGTATATCAGTGAGAAAAGCGAAAGTAAATTGAACTGAGGGTAGATAGAATGGACTGCAAGAAAATGGACGCTTATTATGAAGGTAATGTAAATATAAAGATACAAATAGAGAAGAAACAGAACCTGTAAAGCGTGACAATTTGCCAAGCCATCGAGAGATAACCGAATGCAATTGGAAATTTTTCACGAGATACGGAACCCCCTATTGCCGTGCGCCACTGGTTGATATCAACCTGCATCACCATTTGGGAAACCAAACGGCTCAAGGAATCTGGATAAACTATATATCATTCGATGCACAAGATTATGTTAAATGTTATTTTATAACGCTATTTTATAAAATGTTTTAAAACATTATTTATGTCCAAGGGTTGATCTTCCTTTTCTCCCACCAGCAGCAGCCTCAGAAAATCCATTTTCGATATTTTTCCGCTATTTTCTGCTATGCCATACTTATGATGTACATAGACGTGATCTTCTCAGCAGTGTACAGGCGATACTGTTGCCTCATGGCTTGCTAAATCTTTCAAATAAAGACCTACTAAAACTCATCCTTTATGGCCATGAACAGTTACCATTCAATTTACACTAGGTGAGCAAGAGTATTGCACCACTTTGACTAATGAATAATGACGTCAGCGTTGTGAACAACATGCCCTTTGAAAGGCGTGATTCCATGATTAAAACTAAATCAAACAAAACCTTTTGCCAACACTTTTGATTCTAATTTTGAGAAAAATATCTTTTAAGAATAGCAAAAAAGTAAATTTTTCATTGGACAGTCTCGAAGCTTTGATACCCTTGTAAAACAAATTAAATTAAATCGAAAACTTTTGCAGCAGGTAACTTTTAAACGGGACATGATATATTTAAGTAAACTTTGCAAGGCCATATTTAGGTCTTTGAGATCCGAGAAGATCATTTTGGGCCTTGAATTAAGCGTAAAGTGACACGTTTACAGCCGTTTTTTGATGAGGGTTTTTAGAAACTGGCGGGTCAATGTTTACGACCGTTTATCGCAGAAATTTTGGTATTTTCATTCAAAGAGGAGATGAAATGCTGTTTTGAAAATATTGCTATAATATTTGTTGTTTAACAATATCGCAATTGGCTGGAAGGGATGGAGGTAAAGGCTACTGGCATGTTTAATTGATTGTATTCTGTTGCAACATGTTACGTAATGGTATCCGAAATTAGGCCTTTTGCAGGACTAAAAATGTTGGGAACGTGCACTCAACAGTTACGTAATAGCTGATTTTGTAAGTAAGCTAATGACCTTTGTAATTAGTAGCTAGTCTAGGACGCGTAGTTAGAGTAGATTGCTTGCTGCTCTATTGTTAGCTAATTAGAAGCTTCTAGAAAGTTTTAATGATCGCTGAGGTAGAACTTTTTATCACGTGTCACGTAGAGTTAAGCTAGTTGCATGTTTCGCAATGAACAAGTCGCTAGAAACTCAAAAACAACAAAAAACGTGCGACCAAAACTTTTGAGAAATACTTTAATAAGAGTCAATAAAATTAACAGTTTTGGGCAACCAAGCAAAAATAAGTATCTCCAAGTTCGCCTTAATGAAATCTTACAGGCTTGTGCGAAGAAAAACCTTTTTGCTGCAAATATATTACAGGTACTCCTATCGCCATAGCTCAGTTTTCATGTTTTGGCAGTGGTCGATATTGCTTAAAAATAAGAAGAATCAAAGGACATATTTGCATTTTCCATTTTCATTATTATACCTTGATAAAATTTCCCATTATTTCCCACCCTAAAGGTGATATTAAAACTTTAATTTAACTTGCTTTAGCTATTTGAATCCCGGTTTGCTATAAAAAGTTCGCGACGGTGCAGCCATTTTGAGAAGAGGGGGGGGGGGGGGTGCAATACTTCTGCTCACCTAGTGTAAATTCACTAATCCTTACGGCAACATTGAAGTATGTCCAGGCCTCTGAACGGTATGAATGATGCAGGAACAAAAATCTTTAAATCTCCAATTGTGTTTTAATACTGTGATTTACGTATTTGTCTAATGTTAGGAGGTTATCATGATATATTGCTTCTCCAGGCCGAAATTTCCTACAACTCGCGCGCGAAAGCGCGCGAGTGAAGGGCTTATAGTCTGCCCCGCGTATAAGTAGCATATGGAAGCTTCAGTTCATGTTGTCAGCACTTTGTCAGCAGATTTTGTCACATTTTTGCTGCCATGACAACTGTCAATCAATTTCATTGTCAATCAATCGGCTTTGTCGAGGTGGTCGTTAAAGGTAATGTGTCCAGCTATAGCAAGCGACTCTGCGGGGTTTTTAGAAACATGTGATTTTTCATGTCATCGCCCCAGTCATTACGGTCGTTCTGTTTATTTATCCTGCTGGGAGGTTAGCTTTTCATGTGAGCAGTTTTGCATCGCAAGAATACTAACCAATCGCAAACTGTTATTTTGATGGGTGGCTTGACAAGTTGGGTATACGCAGTCCTTTTATATGGACACATTACCTTTAACCGCCACCTCTTTGTGCGGAAGGCAATTATCTTCGGAGCGTTGCTCTGCCAAGACTCTGCTAAAGGCCTTCAGTTTTTTTTTGGAAGGAAAACGGTGCCTCAGCTTGCTCTTAATTTGTTTTGGGAAGTTTTGGGAATCAAAACCAGTCGAATGCCACACCTTTCTCCCAAAAACTCGAGACCGTACAAGCAAAAGTTATGATTGTCATGATTATCGCCTGTATATCGCTGTACGAATCCTTTATCGCAATCGATTTTAGCTGTACCCGTTCTATCACCTGTCCATTTTCTTACGTCTTTGTTTACTTCACGAAAACGAAAAATTAATGTCAAACCCTCGAAAAACTTCATGATCTTCAAAAGGGCGTTGGACTTAAATCAAAAGCAAACTGAACACCAAAAATTCTTGATAAAAAGAATAGTTTAGCATCAACTAGAGCAGCTGTTTTTAATAAAATTGCGAAAACCCAAGATGGTGTCTTCTTCGAATGTCTTCTTCAAATTAAAATTTCAAAAAAATCATTATCAAGGAACTAATTGTTTGCGGGCAGTACTAGCAAGAGCTATTTCTAGTTGCAATGTAGTATAATAGTTTCCGTGCGGTAAAGTTTCAGGTGATTCTGTTTGTAAGCTTCTTATCGATTAAAAAAAAGACTTTTCAGTATACTCTCGATTGAAAAAGCATAAAACTCTCCTTGCATTTTCACTTTAACTTTAATCGACAGCAACTTGAGCAAATTATTACATCCAGTTTGAGGTAGAGAATTTTGGCAACCTCCCTTGGAGGGAATTTAGAAACCTCCTTTGCTTGTCAACGGCCATCTTTGTTTTTTAAAAGCAGCAGAGGAGAACAGATTGTACTCCAGAGTGAGTGGAAGTTATCAATTTCTTAGATGGTTTAAACTTTGAATCATTTGATTTCTTATCCGAAATTTGGTAGCGATGTAATTTTCGATTTTAGACCTCTTGACACTTGACTTCGAGTCAAAGACCTCTTGACAAGTCTTGATAATACTAGCTTTTGTCGTAAACTGACCGAATATTTTGTTCTTAAAAATAGAGAGAAGCATGTTTTACATAAAAAATAATTACATCATGTTAAAAGTATCGTTGATCCGATTGGAATTGCTGGTTCTGAAGTGTTTAGGGCCTCAACTTTCTGTTGCATTCCCCACATGGGGAACCATGTGGTGCTCATTCTGAAGGGTTTTGCAATATAATTTTTTGAACGATTTTTCGTTATTGAGCGTGACAGTGTTGTCAAATTAACGTCATTTTTGTGGAATTTCAAATATTTTTTGGAAAAGTAACTTTAATTCAGACTGTTATGTCACCTTTTTGGTTTAGTGGAAAAATACATCAAAATTAAATGGCTCGATCCCACATAAAAGTTTAGTTGAATATTGTTTTGCTAAACAATTGTTTGTATTTTGGAGGATTTAAAAGGCCAATATCTGCAAGAAGGCTAATAACTCAAATTTTCTTGGACGTAGGTTTTTGCTGTATGTTAAAGATTTGATTCCAATTTGCAGTAGTTTCAAAGAATGTTGTTGTTTTGCATTATTCATTGTGTTTAAACCACACTAAATAGACTCTATTGTATTTGTAGACATAGAATGAATCTCAATTGACCTGACTGTCGACATGATACCTGATAAGATTGCTGTACAGTGCAAGAAATGCTCAGATTGTGGTTGCCAGACATATGCCCAGGATTGCTGATTGCCTGTTTTAGATACACTATCAACAGAAATCATGGTAAGATTTGTTTCTTTCAAGTTCTGTTTTCATTCACTTGTATAGTGTTAATTCAATTCCATCAAACCTGACTGCTCTCCTTCTCCTCAGGACAATGACTGCACACACCTTCAACCCAAATTTCATACCAATGTTCTCACTAAAAATATACACTGTCTGTGCTAGGCTATTAATCTAGTTTTTGTTCTTTCTAAAGAGCTTATGGTCATTATAAAGAGTAAATGGTTTAGCTTGTATTCTTTTTGGCTCCATTCATATGATGCTTTTACTTTTCATAAGAGTAGGGAAAGTGGGATCATGCATACGACAAAAATCAGGGGACAAAGGCTATCTCCTTAGAATATGCCTCTATTGACATCAATTTCACATAAATCTGATCCATTGGAGGTCAAGTGGAGTTTCCATTTTAATAAAATCTGTGATGTTTCCAGCTATACCACACAATTCAAGACTCTCTAGCAGCCAAATATGAGGGATAAGATCATAGGTCTTTCTATAATCAATCCATGCCATGGTCAGACTTTTTTTTTCTTACAATACTTTAGAACTGCTTTATCAATTGATAGTTGATCATTGGTTCCTCCAATTTTCCTTCTGCATCTTTTTTGCTCCTCTGGTAGTAGATTTTCACTTTCCAGAAAACACTTATTTCCTCTGATATTATACCAGTCATTAGCTTCCACATGAGTGGCAAGCAGGTATTTGGCCTAAAATTATCAACTGAAATTTTTTATCCAGAAACCTTGCACTCCATCATGCTCTGGTGCTTTCCAATTGGACACCTTTTTATATTTGTCATTAAATTTGCTCTCATCAGTTACTATATTTTGCTGTTCCATTTTCCCTATCTCTTGTTTTATCTCTTTTAACCAACTAGCATCCTGTTTGTGTTTCTTCTCTATACTCTATTGCTCCAAAAAGCCTTGGTTTCCTCAGCCATTGGTATTTGACAATCACTGCTTCCAATCTGACAATTGAACTCTTTGTAGACATTCTTTTGATCCATATTAAACAATCTATTTATCCTTTACTGCTCTATTCTCTGTTCGTATCTTGTGATCTTAGTGGCTTTAGCAAGGATTCTTTGCTTTATTTCTTTGACCACAGTTGTTAGCCCTTTCTGCTTCACTCTCTATTTTTGCTTCAAATGTTTAACTTTGCATTCTCGGCGCTCATGTACCTCTCCTCTTCTCAGTCTTGCTAGAAAGCTAACACCTTTTTTTAGCTGCTTTATATCACATTCAATACGCTTTTTCCACAAAGGCTCCTTTTTCTTCCCTTCTTTATATGGCATAAGACCTAATTAGTCTGCTACCCATAAACTCGCAGCTTCTATTACATTGTTAGTTTTGGTTCTGTTTGTTGTTTCGTTTATTTTAATTACCCTGTTTACTCTTGCCGTATATCTATTGAAGCATTTTATGTCAACTTTTTTAAAGGAAATACCACTGGTATCTCTATTTTCAATCATAATTTCCAGCAGTTAAGCAATATTAAGCTGTGCTTCCTCATCTAATGATTGAACATTTTGAATGGGATTACTTATATCCTGGCATGCTTCAAGGAAAATATTATGGGTTCCCTCATTAGGTGTCTTGCACCATTATAACAGATAAACTACCGGGGCATTCCCAATTGCAAAACATAAACAATCAGCTAGTTGTGAGAAGACAAGTCAAAATATGCCGTGAGACTTTGAGAAAGAGATTGGCAATTCTGTTGAACATTTCAGGTTTTAGACTGCGTGCAAACTTTGCTCTTCGTTGGAAAGGAAAGTAACGTCTGCACGCAGTGTATTGCACGTTTAAGAAGGCTTCAAGATTTGAAGAAAAATTCAAAAAGAAAGTTTTGGGGACCTCACGCTAGTCATTTCAAGTAATCCTGATTGTATAACTCTTTTCATAATTTACAAGTAAGCAGAAATCTGTTAATTGGCAATGTATTATTGATCGCAAGGTGCTAACAATCACGAAATCGATTTCATGCATTGCTACATACTTATTTTGGCTTTACATTTGCATCTTACTTGGTTGATGAATAAAACATTCCTGGAATTTTTTGGCTTAATTTATGTTTAAACGCTAAGATCAACATTTTTTTATCTTGGCGTGTAACTTTTTTGAGCGTTCAAGTGCGTTCATCTCCTGCAAGTTGAACTCCCGGAGCATTCCCATTTGGCGTTGAACTTGAACGCTTAGAGATGAACGCACTTGTGGGAACCAAGCTTAATAGCCCTAGCTTGATCGCACAATCGTTGCTCAGTAACATCAAAAACTCCACGTTCTCTCCACTCATTCATCATTTTTTGACGATATCCTCGTATTGGCTTGCCATGCAAATCCAAAGGTTTCCTCCTTAGGAATATTCAATCATAGCCTTGTTGACTTCTTTAGACCATTTTTGTTCTGACAGTCATGGAATGACGACCGGGCCCCCGCTGTTGTACCGGGGGATACCAGGGGTTGTTTTCTAAATTGTTTATATTCATTTCACTCATAAGGAAGATTGTGTTCGTCAGGTGACACAACACTATCTCTAGGAGGGATGCCAACCAAGGCTAAAGAGTCCCCCCTACCCATAAGACAGACTAGCCCTACTGGATGCCAAATTGGAATTTTATGGCCTCGGGGAGAGCTGACAGGTATTGCGACCTCGCTCAAGGGTGATCTGGAGGTAATTGCGACCAAGGATAACCTCATTATTCAACGCCGAAACTCTGTAACAAGATGAAGTTTACGGTCATACCCAGGACATATTATCACTATCATTATTATTATTATTATTATTATTATTATTATTATTATTATTATTAACATATAACTTGGATGTTAATGCTAACTGCAAAAGAGAGAAATACTCGCATCTTATTCACAGCCTAAGCTCAGCCTATTTTCTGTCATATTTGTTAATCTTTCTATCAGTTCCCTAAGTATCTTTGGTCTCTCCTGCTCCTTCATCAACATGTGCAACCAGTGGCAAAGCTAGAGGTCATGCAGGTCATGCCGAGCTTGATCAAAAAATTTTCCAGAAAATAAGTTTTTAATCTAGGATAAAATTTCTAGTTATCTTAAAAGATTGGGTTTTTTTCACACTGAAAATTCTCCAAAATCAAAGAAAATTTTTCTTTGCGTACTTTTATGTAACTTTGTAGGAGCCAACCTAGGGTTTCTATATTTAAAACTCAATAAAGCTCAAGGGTTTCCAATTTAGTCATGCAAATATCACAGGGATCCCAATTTAATCAGGCACTTTGAAATGTGCATGACTAAAACCCTATGTTTGGTCATGCAAAACCATGTGAAACAATAGAAAGAGCCCTGAAAATATGATGATTATTACATTTTAGTCATGCACTTTTGGAATGGCATGACCATGACCTTGACCGCATCGTTTCCCTGTTCGAGTTCAAAAAATGAAACTGAAGAGGAAGTATACTAGTTCATGAGGGAAGGGATTTTGTGAAATGTTACCCTGCAAGAAATATAGCAGCAGAGAAATGAGGAAAAGTAAAAGTTTTGTGATTTTAAAGAATTGATGCAGCAAAATAAAAGTTGGTAGTGGAATAGACTATTCCGGTTGTGGACTATGTTTGCTAACACATATATTTAGGCCTATGTCAACGAGAATATGACATGCACGAACTAGTAGGCCTGCGGCGCCTGATGATAAGGCAGGCAACGCTTATATTTCAAGAAAAACAATAAAACAAACTACCTGGTTCTAATATCATTTTGTTACTCTGCTGATAATTGACAAGCCCAAAGTATTACATGCTTTGATATTGGCTAGTGGACTTACATGCTAAATTTCAATAATATGTTGCTTGAAATATTCAGAATGAATGTCTCTAGAACTTGTTGTTAGTAGAAGAAACACACATGCTTCATTGTTCTTGCTCCTTAGAGACATGCAATGCAAGTTTGAGATACAATGAAGCATGAAATTAGTGCTGTCTTCTTTATCTTATAATGGCTTTTTTTGTTATTGATGTTATGTGAGATGCGAGTATTGAGATTGTTACAGAGAAGAACTCTTTTTTTCTGATTATATACTGTTTTGCCAAATTAAGAATAATTAATTTAAAAGAAATGAGGTGCAGCATGAACCTTGACTAGGGGGCATTTTTTTTATTTGTAAAAACAACACTATTTGTACTTGTAAGTACACTAGTTCTAAGTAAGGAATTAGGGAAGGGTCATCTAAAGTGTATTTATTTTGTCATGTATCAGAGCAATCAATTTAGACATTTTATATAATGTTGTGAGAATCAAATCCAACTGTGTTATGTTATCTAAAAAAGCCTTCCTTCAGTATCTCACAGTTTAATCAAGTGAATCAAACTGCTCTTGAAATAGTAAATAGTAATAAATTGAATGTCAGAGTTTAAAAGTGAATTTACATTAAAAACAAATTAAAAATTTAATTTCAGAATTTAAAAACATGTTTAGCACCTAAAGCCAAGGCTTTTTCAAAACATGTCTCAAGAGAGTTCTGAAAATTATTCTTTTGCAAATTATTAACAGTTTTATGCCCTCGAAGGCTTTTTGGGTATTTTGACAATAGCTGAAAACACTTTTTTCAAGGGAACTGATCTAACCTTAACTTAAATTTGGTACCATGCTGTGATGGCGAAAGCCCTGTTTATTTTTCACCCAAGTGCATGACCAACTCTCCAGAGCTCTGGCTCTGGCTCTAGATATCAGCGAGAATCATCTCCGCTACATGATTTCCAAACTATCCAACTTAACTTTCCGTACAACCTATAAATTTTCTGCCACACGAGTCTTGGAATAATCTTTAATTCTAACGATCTCTGCAACTGACAACTTCTAGAACAAACAACGACGAACACACTTTTGTTTGTTAATTTCTTTTGTTTGTGCTTGTAATAGTCAAACAATCTTTTGGTGGTACAAAACATGTAAATGGCTTTGAA